GACCTGTAACTTCTTCTTTAAGAAGCTCTTCTGTCCTCCACTCATTACCTGTATTAATGGCTCCTGTTTGAACTCGTTATCTGTATAAAAGACACCTGTCCACAGCCTCAAACAGTCAGACTCCAAACTCCACTATGGCCAAGACCAAAGAGCTGTCGAAGGACACCAGGAAAAGAATTGTGGACCTGCACCAGACTGGGAAGAGTGAATCTACAATAGGCAAGCAGCTCGGTCTGAACAAATCAACTGTGGGAGCAATTGGAAGAAATACAAGACCACTGATAATCTCCCTCGATCGCAAGATCTCATCCCGTGAGGGCAAAATTATCATGAGAACGCTGATCAAAAATCCCAGAACCACACGGGGGGACTTGGTGAATGACCTGCAGAGAGCTGGGACCAAAGTAACAAAGGTTACCATCAGTAACACACTACGTCAACAGGGAATCAAATCCTACAGTGCCAGACGTGTCCCCCTGCTGAAGCCAGTGCATGTCCAGGCCCGTCTGAAGTTTGCCAGAGAGCACATGGATGATACAGCAGAGGATTGGGAGAATGTCATGTGGTCGTCGTGTTTGGAGGAAGAAGAATACTGAGTTGCATTCCAAGAACATCATACCTACTGTGAAGCATGGGGGTGGACACGTCATTCTTTGGGGCTGTTTTTCTGCTAAGGGGACAGGATGACTGATGCGTGTTGCCCCTACCATGGGCATGAAGCACCAGACAGCATAGCTCCCAGGATCACCCGAGTACTCAAACTCCCCCACCACGTTAAGGTGGCAGTCCAGGGGGAGTACGGGGTCCGGGGTCCTCTGCTGAGGGCCGTCCGGTCCCTGTATGACCGGAGCCAGAGCCGTGTTCGCATTGCCGGCAGTAAGTCAGATCTGTTCCCGGTGCATGTTGGCCTCCGCCAGGGCTGCCCTTTGTCACCGGTTCTGTTCACTGTGTTCATGGACAGAATATCTAGGCGCAGCCAGGGGTTGGAGGGGGTCCGGTTTGGGGACCACAGGATTTCATCTCTGCTGTTTGCGGATGATGTCGTCCTGTTGGCTCCAACGAACCAGGACCTGCAACATGCACTGGGACGGTTTGCAGCCGAGTGTGAAGCGGCTGGGATGAGAATCAGCACCTCCAAATCCGAGGCCATGGTGCTCGACCGGAAAAAGGTGCCTTGCCCTCTACAGGTGGGTGGGGAGGTCGTTCCTCAAGTGGAGGAGTTCAAGTATCTCGGGGTCTTGTTCACGAGTGAGGGAAGGATGGAGCGTGAGATTGACAGGCGGATCGGTGCAGCGTGCGCAGTGATGCGGTCGCTGTATCGGACCGTTGTGGTGAAGAGGGAGCTGAGCCGAAAGGCGAAGCTCTCGATTTACCGGTCAATCTTCGTTCCCTCCCTCACCTATGGTCATGAGCTGTTGGTAATGACCGAAAGAACAAGATCGCGGATAAGCGGTCAAAATGAGTGGCTGGGCGCTCCCTTAGAGATAGGGTGAGGAGCTCAGTCACACGGGAGGAGCTCGGAGTAGAGCCGCTGCTTCTTCACGTCGAGAGGAACCAGTTGAGGTGGCTCGGGCATCTGTTCCGGATGCCTCCTGGACGCCTCCCTGGGGAGGTGTTCCGGGGGAGGTGTTCCGTGGGAAGACCCAGGACACGCTGGGGGGACTATGTCTCTCAACTGGCCTGGGAGCGCCTTGGGGTCCCCCCAGACGAGCTGGAGGAAGTGTGTGTGGATAGGGAAGTCTGGGTGTCTCTGCTTAGACTGCTGCCCCCACGACCCGGCAACGGATGAAGCGGAAGAAGATGGAATGGAATGGAACTTGCACTCTCAGTGGCTGACTAAATACTTTTTTGCCCCACTGTATTTATATTGGCATTTATGCAAGTTAAGTGTCAAAATAAAAATAACTGTTTGTTTTGTTTATTATTTTGTGTCTTGTCCGTCTTTTTCGTTTTAAAATTGACCTAAAGTCTGAAATAAAGTTGAATTTCCCCTTTCCCCTTCCCCTTCCCCTTTGATTGAATTTCTTGTAAGGGAATCAATAAAGTATCTATTTATCTATCTCATTTTAATGTTCCTGAATTTCCACAAACCTGACTCGTGATCGTCCTTGAGGAGAGTTTCTATGTTTCCATGGAGATGTTATTCCTGCTGTAATCTTCCACAGTACAGCATTACATCTTTCAAGATCTTTTTTTTTTCACCTGCAGAAAATATGCATATGGAGAACCTATACTTTATAAATAGTATAATATAATGATAAATATATAAATTATACATCATTATATTATACTATTTTTTGCAGCATTTCATATTTTGTAGATAGATGTATTGAAACCACACCTATGATATCCTTCTGAAAGCCAAGGATCTGACAGAATTGCAGTTGACGGTCACTAGATGGCGTCAGAAGCCTGTCTAGACGCGTGGCTCCTCCTTGATCCATAAAGCCGTCCCCCTGCGACCACATCAGTCAAGCCAGACAGAGCAGCGCGCGCAGGACGGACCAGCCCCAAGAGTCTTTCTGAATAAAACACACAAAGTTTCATTCTAAGAGCCAGCAGCAGAGACAGAGGTCCACATGAGGGGCTACAATGTTGGCTGTTGTATGGATAAACTGTCAATAAGAAAACACTACATACTTGTCAAAAGTCAGACCTCTGATGCTAAGCACGGTGGGGTTAGTACTGTGATGAGAGACCTCTGAGAACACCAGGTGCCACAGTGGGGCGTCTGTAGCTTTAAAGTCCCACACTGTTGTTGTGTCCACAGGCAAGACACTTCTCTCACATTGTCCTGTCCAGTCCAGTATATTGATCAAGCACTAATAAAAAAACAAAAACAAGGTTGACCAAAGTTTGGTATAAAGACATACGAAAATATACAATTAGAAAATACAAAAGAGTGGCAAAAAACACACTATTTACAGCAAACAAAACCAATTCAGAATTATTTAAAAGTGAGTCTGAAGATGAGACTTAAAAACAGGAAGTGAATCAGACAGTCTAACACACCGGGGCAGCTCATTCCATAATTTAGGACCAACAACCGAAAAAGCCTGATCTCTGGGTTTCTATTGAGTCAGCCAAAGCAGAGCCTGATCTGCCGACCTGAGAGAACGAGATGGAGCGAATGACGTCAGAAGGTCAGACAGATGACTCCAGAAAGAGTTTGGTGTGTATGTGGACGGTTGGTGATGGTGGGAGGGGCCGATGGCGTATAAGGGTAGCCTCACTTCTGTCAGTGTGCCCCAGGGCAGCAGTGGCTACAGTGGTACTTTCACTCCATAAGTCTGTGTGTCCAAAAAGGGCTATATACAATTGATGCATTATTACTATTAAAATTATTATTATTATTATTTTGACATCCTATAAGCATTTCTTTCTTATTTTTTGTTGCTTGCTTTTGTGTGTTTGGTAATTTTTATTTTTTTCTTGAACAATGTTGCCCAACAATGGAATCTTTGATGGTTATCTTGTCCAAACAGCGGTAAAGTTCTGTGTTGCAAATCTATTTTACAACTGAAAATTCTGAAAATACAAACTTGTTATCACTTACTTATAAGCTTAACTTTCCAATCAATGAAAATGGAACTAATAGAATCCATCTCCTTGTTTGGTTCTAGTACTAGCTAGCTAGATGTATTATGGCCGTTACTCTTTCAGACAGAACATTGGAAAAGAGAGAACCACCCACACTCCAAGGTGGTTTACGCCTCATGTTTTCTAATAAGATGAAGATAGCATGTTGCAGTCTGATTTGTTCAAGCAGCATTGAATATTTGTGGAAAACAACTTAATACTAAATTAAAGTATAATGTAAAGTAAAGTGAATTTATTTTTGTATAGCCCTAAATTACAACAGCAGAGGACTTTACAACGTTGTCAATTCACAAAAAGCAGATCAGAGAAAGAAAAAAGAAATGCAATCATAACAAACACATAAGAGACATTATGTCCTGAGATATCCCAAACCATCACTGTCAAAAAAAATATAAAAGTGGGGAAAAAGTGAAAAAACCTCAAGTGTGCACATAATGAGAGAGCGTTCTACTCCCATGACAGAGCAGGCTATTGATCCAAGACTCAGGCTGTTGAACAAGGACTGAGGCTGTGCGGTGCAGGATATACTAATATCAATCGATCAATCAATCGATCAATCAATCAACTTTTATTTGTAGAGCGCCTTTCCTACACAAGGCAACACAAAGCACCTCACAACCCACATCACATCAAGACAACATTTTGCAAGTATTTTCAGCTTATAATATATTCTTGACAGCCTTTATATTAAAAGATATAGCAGAAATAGCCTCTGTGCGCGCCAAAACACAACATATTGTATTTTATTGTGAAAATCACTACCGGACGCGCTACTCTTAGGCCTATGCGCTTTGACAGTGGCGTGTCAGTCACCATGGTGGCACACAACAGACTGGAGCCACGGACCTTCCTTCTCTATTAGCCCCATTAAAATGCCTTTGTAAATCATACTGGAATCACTGGGACTAGGAATTACCTCTAACTATGGACTACGGGCTTATGGCGACCAGATAACCAGCTCTCAGTGTGCGCACTTTTTTGGTTTTTTTTGCCTTTTTCTTCCATTCTTTCCTTCCACAGCTAAAATGCTGAAGAGACAAGGAATGGCTTTGGTGAACAGTGGAGGGACACTTTTAACAATAGGAAAATAATACAAACTAAGTGTAAAAAGGGCGCGATTGGATTAGATTTGTATTTGCTGCGTTTTTTGTTTTGTTTTATTGTAACACGCAAAAGCAGAGCCAGGGACGCACAGACACGGATCCCGCGGAGGGGGTAAGTCGGGCTCCAGTCTTGTCAGGCCTATCGGGGGGCACTCCCAGCTTTGTCCGCTCGCCCCCATCCCACAAGACAAGCTGGGGGCAGCGCTGGACCCTTTTCCACGACTCCTGGATATTTGTGGACACTAACACAGAGCTGGACAAGTGATCCATCGGCGCGTCTGCAAGCGTCCCAGCGCAATGGCGTCCTATGTGGATAACAGTTTTCGCCAGGCTGTGATGCTCAACCCGGCGGACCGCACGCAACAGGTCAGATTACAACAGATCTGCATGAATCCCCATACACGTCCATTATTGTGTTTTACTCGTGATCACTCGCTGGCCAAGTTTGACAGCATTCAACCCGCTGCGTTCTTCATATAGTTGTGGCGTTTGGACGTGTTGCCTGCTCCATACTGTGGCTACATCCCACTAAGCCGAGTTAATACAGCTACTTACCAGAAGAAACTGCTATGGCGTAAAAAAAAGCGTCTTATATAACAATCAAGCCGTTAAATAAACATTTTGGTTGTATACTTTTTGACCGGGGATAAAAATTCCCCGGCAATCTTACGCAAAGGCGCGTAGCATGAAATGATATGAGAGTTGTTGAGCTAATTGCTAATAAACTTGAGCTTTGTTAGCACGTGTTTTTAGCATCAGCGTTTCTTAAAGGTGCATATAGGAGGATGCAACATTTTAGGAAAGAACTGCCCTCTCCACGGTTTTAACAAAACTGGTCTTATTTGAGGAGCATGTATCACCAGGATGATTGACAATTAGGAGGACCAATAGTCTTGATGATCCACCCGGAAGTAGATAATCCTATACCTTTAATTTTAGCAGAACATATTTGCAAATGGTTTGGTTTGCACTGTCATTAAGCACATTCTGGGGTTGTTCCTCCCGGTCTTGGGCGGTGGGTCATATTTGATATATTTGGTGTGTGTGTGAATGCTGGTGGTGGTTGGAGGGGCCGATGGCACATACTGGTTGCCTTGCTTCTGTCAGTGTGCCCCAGGGCAGCTGTGGCTACAGTAGTAGTTTATCACCACCGTGTATGGAGTGAATGAATGATGACATGACATGTAAAGCGTCTTTGAGTGTCCAAAAAGCACTATATAAAATCGATGCATTATTATTATTATACCTTTTAAGTCCTACTTTGAGCTCTAGAAATCTAATTTATTCTCGGTTGGTTGGTGTATCTTTTCATTTTCCACACCGGCTCCGTTTTGAATTGATTTAACAAAGCCTTTAGACACAATGGTCAGATCAATAGGCCACCTCTTAAACCCCCCAAGGCTCTAGTCCATTTGATGTCATAGTTGTAAATGGGGGTGCAATGGACAAGGACCTGAAATACAGAAGTGAATCTGAATCTGCTTGTACTACCTCAACTAAAACTATGAGTTGGCCTGTCACAATAATTCAATATCAATGTGTCATCTCAATTTTATTTTTGCAAGAATAGGGGTGATTTATTGATAATTTGATACAATTTGACCTGAATTTTGATTATAATTTTTTTTATTGGACAGCTTGCCCTACATGATAATAGGCCTCATTAGTACGGCCATTATACGGTTGACTGAGTTTCATGTGAATTTTATTGACCGTGGCAATCTTGCATTAATGTTGTCAAATGTTTTGCCATATCTCCTAGTATAAGATTGCATGTTATTTCAAAATGTCTAGATGCCAACCCTTTCTGTAGCTATTGTGTTTCTTATCCTTGTTAATATACTTTGAATTGTGAGTTGCCACAGTCGTCGCAGTGATAAGCCACCATTTGACCCATATCAGGTTTAATTTGCTATTCTATAATATCTCATATGAACAACATGTTATCATACTACCAGCTCTCGCAGCCTGATACAGGGAAGTATCTGATGCACTTGGATATTGAAATCTGAAAACGGTGAGAGTTTAGTAACTGTAAGCAGTCCCTCAACAAGTCGATTTGCCTTTAGGTAACTCCGAGATATTGATTTCTGGTCACTGGGGACGGATTCAGAGTAAGGTTAAAAGTATTCCGGAGGTTTTTCTCAAATTTTCTCAAAAACCGCCCTCTCCACAAATCTTTGGTCTTGTTTGACGAGCGCATATCACCAAAGTGATTGACGATTTGGAGGACCAATAGTCTTAATGCTCCACCTGGAAGTAGAAAATCCTCCTATATACATTCAATATTGTGTAAAAACGTTTTGAATTTGACAATGGGCTCTGACATAAACACCTGGTTATTAGTGGGATACTGTAGAAATGTCTATTATCCACTAAAATCAGTCAAACTAAGGAGGCGCGTCAAAACCATAGACTGTCATTAATGTTGCATTGAAACTGGACGCTACGCATGGTCCGGTGTGAACGCCCCTTTACGCTCTGAACCATTGTGAAGCTGGGAGACCCCATGTAAACAGAGTTTAAATGTCTGTGCCCGCTGGGAAGCTGGTGTTCTGTCACCAGCTTTCCAGTCCAGTGGGGGGATTATACAAATCTCGTTCCAGACTGCAACTTTTTAATTAACATTCCTCCAAACATCATCATTATCAAAATGCATCACATGTAGCTCTATAGCTGCACTTTTCCCAGGCTAGCTTTCTCAAATGTCTTAAGTCTGTGGCTGACTTAGTTCAGCCTAATGTTAATGCCACTGGCCCTGTCAAGATTAACTAACGGTCAGAGGGATCTGTCCTTATTGCTCAGGACTACCACAGCACTGGGACTTGACCCTTTGGCTCACCCTATTGTCACATGGTCACTTAAATAACCCGCCGTTTGACAGCGTGTGACCTCCCCGTCTGCTCACATTGGCCAGTGCATTATTCTACTGTAGCATCATGGGATGGACACATACAGGGATACAATAGGTAGGACAGAAATACATTTTTATGGCCAATTTGATTTTAATTGACGACTGGTAAGATGCTTTAACTGGTGGTTCAATCCTTCCTTTAATGTTGCATAATTTTTCATCATATAGAAATATTGGTTTCACTCAAGTCACTGCTCAGCCAATCAACATTTTCTACCCACCTCGACTCACTGCTCCATGTATTAATTTGTTTGGGACTTGCTTCCCATCTACTCATATTGTCCTTGAGTGTCTCCTCTGCTTTGCTGTTCTATGCCAGCAAAGGACACTCACGCCATTTGATTTTCAGACACAATCCAATATGAGCTGAAATGTCGCGCGCCTCAGCCTTGGAGAAGGCACGTCAGTGAGTTTATTCTATGTTTAGGCCTTTCTATGCTAAACCTGCCCTCACAAAGCACAGTTGAAGGATTCACATTCTTTGTTTGCCCCGATTGGGCAGATGCATGCACTTCTCAGGCCAGGTGGTGAAGTCAAAGGCCACAATGAGCGCTTCTTCCAACGCAGGGGCCTGTTTTACTGCCGCACTCTGTCACCACAAGGACAATCAGACTGCTTTGCATTGCAGCCACACGTACAAGAGGAGATAAACAGATCGGCAGTGTTATGATGGAGCTAGTAAAGGGCACATACAGTGCATTCAGAATTTGCATTTTATTTTCGGCCTGTTGAAATCTGATGACTTTCAATGTGTTCCGAGGGTCATTTACCTTCTTTATGTAAGCAAAGAGTAATGCTGAAACTCCGTTAGAGTGACCATTAAGTTCTTGGTCACTTCAATGATCAAGACTCAAGACCACTGACCCAAGATTGTTCAATACGGACAGGCGGGTTACCTATATTTCCTAATGGTGGAGGCCGGTTTGCTCTTCAGGACATTCAGTGCTGCAGCTCTAATGTTTTAGTAACCTTCCCGATATCTGTGCCTCAATATAATTCCTTCGAGACTGATCTTGTTAATTATGCCTGAACACAATACATAGATTGGATTTCACCGTGAAGATGAAGTTGCTGAAGGTGACCATGGGTCTCAGAATGTTACACAGACATGACGGAGGGAGATATGATTGCTTGAGGTGCCATGATTCAAGATTGAGGCTGCCTCTGAATGCATGAAAAGGTGCTTCCATTCCTTGTCCTTCTGGCACAAATTTATTTTGGAAGGTCCTGAATTTAACTTTTGCACAACCCAATTTATCTTTAGCACCAATAAATCTGATGCTAGATCCATAAACATTTTAAGTACAAAAACTGAATTAGACCTATTCAATGAACTCTGATACTTTCCACAATATCTTAAAAGTTACAATTTGATAGCTGGAAGTTCCTCATTGCCGACTTCGTTTCAAGTTCAGGTGCTTGCACAGAATGTGGGCATGATAAGCAAACAGTGCAAACGGGAATCACTCATCCGAATATGTATGACTGGGTGTGGCTGCTGCATGGTTGTCACGAGCAGCGTCCGAATGCCTTAAAGTTTAGCAGTCATGTATGATGTGTTTAGCAGCTCCCCCGATGCCTCACAACAATGGAGGCCGAGTGGAAGCAGTGAAAGATGAGCGCGGATGTCCTGCTGCGATATAACAGGAAGCGGAAAAGCCTCAGGAAAAGTTTTGAACTGAGCAGGAAGAATAGCCCCTTTCCCCTCCATGTGTTTAGATATTTAGGGCCGACACCTTTTGTGGTGACCACGTCCATATATAGCTTTGTCAAAGGTGTGTGTTATGAAAAAATAAATAAATATTTGTTTTACTTCTACTTCCTACTACTATAACTTAGTTGAATGACTCTTTGATTCAACGGCTACAAAGCAATTTCCTCTTCCATCTACCACGATCTACCACGACATGTGTTATTGTTGCTCCAATGGTAGACTTGGTGCTTTTTTAATATAGCATAGCATTTGAATTAGATTAATTAAATCATGAGTACCATGGATTTGTCTTTTCTCAGACATTGTGGCTTTAATTTAATTCCTAAACAATTGGATTCCTGGGTCAAGTTTACAACTGCTGCTACTATCCGACAATTTTAGGTCAGAGTCTGGACTTTGGAAACATGGAGGAGAAGCGCCTCATAAAATGATCTATCGGCAGAAACGGAAGACAAACTAAACTATTACATTAAGATAATACATTGTACTATGGGCGGTGGCATTATAAATATTGGCCCCTTTTAAAGGTGTACTCCATTTCCATTACTTGTTCCAATGTGTTGCCAAAGTTTTCCATCTTGCATTTTTGCATCTAAGGACACAATTCCCTGAGAAAGAAGTTTTTAAATAGACTTAAGTACCGGTAGTTTGTTTGTCCCCTGATGAAGGCCCGTTTTGCTGAAATGCATTTGGCTCAGTAAGTTCTATTGGGACGTGGCATAAAGAAGACATTAACTA